GTCGGAAATCCGTCAGTTTCCACCGTCGTCGGAAATCCGTCGGAAATACTGCCGGAATTACGACGGATTTCGGTATTCCTTTTCCGTCGGAAATCCGTCAGTATTTCCGACGGATTTCCGACGGAATTTTTATTTCCGACGAGATAGAACCGACCGACCAAAACCGTCGGAAAGCCGTCGGAATAGGGTGTATTCCGACGGATTTCCGACGGTTTTGCCCGTCGGAAAATCCTTTGTTTTCTTGTAGTGATAATAATTATAATTAAAAACATTGTATAGATAAGGTAATCATTTTCTTAAGAAAAAAAAACGTATCAAAACCATAAATTTCAAAATAAAATAAACTAATTATATTTTATTTTTCATAGTATTACTAGAAATGGTATCCTCTAAAAGTACCCCCCCCCCTTTTTTTTTATCCCACAAATTTAAGGAGCACTTTGAATAATACCACACTTTTTTTTTACTAAAAATACCACAAAATATGATTACGGACTAAACTTACAAGAAACCCATATATATCAGTTGTATAAAAGCTTTCTAAAAGACTAAATTTCTATAATAAGTAATGTAATTAAGAGAAGTTTTACTTTGGATTTTGGTTCGGGAGAGGGAGCCACGTCCAATGGTCAGGATTCTCCGACCACTCGATTGAGAGATCCCTTGCGTTGATCATGAAAACATTACCATTTGGTCTATTGAGGACCCAGAATTTGAACTGTGGATATATACATTTCCATGTCAATTTCATATAGTAATAAACATATAAAGAAAATCAACTAAAAAGAAAAGCAAATGTTGACCTCGTACGATGGTCCCGGTGACTGATTTCTTATATGTAAATTTTCAGTCATGTCGTTTATCCAGTAGAGTTCATTCAGCACCGAAACTTCAACGGCTTCATCACTGAGCATAAAATCCAAACATCGAAATGAATATATAACTATAAAAATAAAACGTCATAATCTACTAAAAAACTAGTTTTTTAGCGTTTTTATTATTTTGTGAAATCATAGTTGCTAAAAAAGATGATGCTATTCGTTCTTTTGATATTGACGATTCTACTATTCCATCATTTGACTAGTATACTTTTCATAAGACATACCACTGAAACTCTATGTATATTTCATATAAATATCAGGAATGGTCTAAAGAAAGAAAGGCTCTTACTTTGGTGCCTCGTACATAGTGATAGTGAGTTTCCTTCCCGCAGGCGAGAGATCGTCATTAATTACTTCATTTCTTCCTTTGGAGATATCCGGCAGCACTTTCCTAACCTCCTTGACTATTGATCTTATGAAATCTTTATCGGATTTGTCACTTTGATATTAGACCCCAAACAAAAAAAAAAATCAATGGGTCAACTAGCTTTCTTTTACACTTAATTGGTATAGTGTACTACAAGTATTGTAACTAGTATCCGAACACACAAATTATCATATCTACCATTTGTTAAGTGATAAGAACAGTAAAGTAGAGAAATAAAAACCTGTATTTTGACAAGGACAAGGCAAACGTTTGGGAAACAGAAGTCAAAGCTTCCGTCCATTTCTTGAATCTTTCTGGTTCATGTTGATATCTATCTACAAGATCCCTGAATTTATCGCCGAAATTTCCTCTAAGGCCTTTCACTTTGGTAGGATCGAGCTTGTAGAAGATGGGAATCACTGTGAGTTTCTTTTGATCCATGCATTCCTTGATTTGTACTAGCTCGTCCAAACACCATTTCGACTCGGTGTATCCCTCGGAAAAGATAACCAATGCGACTTTTGACTCGCCTATCCTATCAAACAGGTTGATTAGGAATTTGCCTCTCTCCTCTCGCTCGTCTATAAACACGTTGATGTTTTTATCTTTCAAGGCAGGCACAAGAAAGCTGATGAAGTTTTTGCGTACATCTTTTCCCCGAAAATTGATGAACACTTGAGGTCCCGTTGGGATCAATGATACAATGGAAGAAGAAGAAGCTCCTGCCATTAGAACTAGAGATTTTATCTAAGAAACAAAAGGAGTTTGATAGAAAATTAATGTGTTTATCTGGTTGGTTGAAATTGAAAGTACGTAATCTTTGTGAAAATATATAGAGTTAATATGAGGACATTATCATCATCACTGATCGTCGTTAAC